GCAGGAGGAGGATCGCCATGGGGTAAACGGGGCCTGAGGGAAACGGGTCCTGAGGTTTTTCATTTTTTTTAGGATCTCGGTCGGGGCCCTTCACGAGCCCCTGCGCTGTCAGGAAGCGGCCCAGGACACGGTTCCCTCAGGAGCCGTTTTCCCCATGCTCCTGTCCGCGGTGCGGTCGTCCCAGGGACTTCGCCCGCCTCCACTTCGGCGGCGAAGTCCGCACCCTGCCCTCGCCTATCAAGGTTTCGGGCAACTCGATGGGCCTCGGAGGTATCGGCGTCGGAGTTCGCCGTGGCACGTAGCGAAGTCCAAACCTTACCCTCCCCGCCCACCGAGTCGGGAGAATCGATTGTTGGCGGGGGCAGGATGTCGCGCCCTATCCTATCAGAAGGTTTGGGCATCCTGCGTCGCCGTGGGCTCAAGACATATCCGCATCCGCGGCCTCGCGGGCTGGGCCACTGGGCCGCTTCCCTGCGGATGCGGGGCCGGGGTCGTCTTTTCCATGGAGGCTCCGTTCGGAACGTATCCGTGCGACCGCGTATCCGCGGGATCGTGCCCCGGAATCCAGACCGCGAGGGCGCAGATACGCATATGTTCGCCGTACGTGAGGTTTCTCATGACAGAAGAAGAGACAACCACAACCGCTGGGCTGAGGGAGCCCGCCCTGACGCCCCCCCCCGCCTCCCCAAGGCCGACCCCGACCCACCAGCGGTGAGGACCTGCGCGCGGCGCCCGGTTTCGGACGCCGCGTGCAGTTCATGCTCGCTGGGGGGTCAGGGTCGGCTCCCCCGCGGTTGTGGTGGTCTCCTCTTCGCTCCTGAGCCGTCGGCATCCGAGCCTGGAGGCTGCGACGCTGGCTCGAAGGCTGCTGGCTTCTGCGCTGCTGCGCGGCGCCCCGCCGCCGCCTGCCAAGGACATCGCCCCCGGGGACGCCCAGAAGCACTGCCAGTGCCGGGGCGGCCAGGGCAGAAAATGGGAGGGCAGAAAGCGAGGAGGAGGAGGAGGAGGAGGAGGCGGAGGAGGAGGAGGAGGAGGAGGAGGAGGAGGGGGAGGAGGAGGAGGAGGGGGAGGAGGAGGAGGAGGAGGAGGAGGAGGAGGAGGAGGATGGAGAGGAGGAGGAGCGGAGGAGGAGGAGGAGGAGGAAGAGGAGGAGGAGAAGGAGGAGAAGGAGGAGGAGGAGAAGCAGAAGTTCCGCGGGCTTCTGGTATTCCCCCTCCTATTCATCCTCGTCATCTTTTGGTAGTGGCCGTCCCCGCGCGGCACCTCCCACAGTTCGCTGTCCTCGAAAGTCTCGGGCCCAGGATGCTGGGGGAGTTCAGGGCCTAGAGGCAAGGGGAGCAGAGACATGAGGAGGAGGCGTTTGGCACTTGCCTCTCTCCATGAGTGCTTGGTGTTCGTGAGCCGCGACTCGCTGGGGAAGCGCCATGTCTGTTCAGCCGGTTCCCCGACCACAAGGCAGGGACACGGAGCAGCGGGCGTTGGCGTCTCGTATGCACAAGACCAGGCGTGCATGGGGCCAGGCAGAGAACGCATTGCTCGTTTCTGTTGGGTTGTGCAGGGGCGCGGCCAAACATTGAACCACGGCCCGTTAGGACGCCGTCAGATCGAGGACTCCTGGAGTTGACGAGCGCGACCGTGTGGGGTTGGCGCACGTCCTCAACTGGTCATGCAAAGCTTCATTCATTGGCTCAGGACGACCGCGATTGCTGATAGCGCACACGCGGATCACGCCGCAGAGTCTGGAGCATGGACAACGCACTCAGCAGCTCGTGATGCTAGGGGGTAAACCGTCGATCTCGGACATGTGCGCAAGCGTGCGCACGTGCGGATCGTCCTCCGTCCCTCTTTCTGCGCGCTCCTCGGCCGCGCCAGCATGCTCCACTGCGGAGGAGAAGTCGTGCCCGTGCCCCGGCCTGGGCCCCGGGCCGCGGGTCCCGGGCCCTGGACGCTAGACTCAGGAGGGGGAAACAAACACACAGACACAATGAATCGTCGATTTCCAGGAAAATATGGGAAAATATGGGAAGTGGGGGGGAAGACAAAAACCTAGAAAATATAGGAAAACATATGGGAATCCTTTTACAAGTGTGTATTTATTTGTGTGTCTCAGGGCCCCTTCGTAGAAGCAAGACCCCGGGCCCCGGGCCCCGAACATGCTGTGGCCTCCTCCTGTTCTGTTCTTCCTCATCCTTCTGTGCGTCCCTCTCTCTTCGTTCCGAATGTTCACTTCTGGGAAAAATCATTCATTCACTCTTTTCTTTGTCCCTATCCTTCCCCGCTATGGAGGAGGGGGGCTGAGGAGGCAGCATCAGCAGTAGGATAATGGGAGGAGTGGAATGACGATGATGATGGTGATGGTGATGATGGTGATGATGAGGAGGAGAAGGAGGAGATGAGATCAATGCAGCCTCTCTCTGGGGCGGCGTCAGTTCAACTCGTGGGTCCCGAAGTCATCTGCTTGTCTGGTGGTCTAGTGGTCTAGCGGTCTGGTGGTAGACGTGCCCCCCCACACAGGACTTAGGCACGCTCCTCCCCAAGCTAATATTTGAAACCCTCTACAGCTAGACATACCCTTGCTCTACACAAAGCTCTTCCTACACAGGCCTCGGTCAGAGAAGGCCCCTCCACAAGCTGATGAAAACAAGCTCATTGGTACTAGACGGGCCCCTCTTTCAGAGGCCCCTTTTGCTGCATAGCACCCTTTCTTAGACCAGGCCATTCTCCAAGCTGACTGAAACAAATATTGATCCCGCCCCTTCGCCTGCAAAGCACCCCCTATTAGACAAAGCCGTCTCCAAGCTGATAGAAGCAACTCCGTGGTGGCAGACGTGCCCCTCCTCGCTTCATTGGCCCCCTCCGCTGCACAGCACCCTCTTTTACATGAGGCCCCTCCCCAGGTTGATTCAACAAGCTCCTTGGTGCTGGACGTGCCCCTCCCCTGCACAGGCCTCTTCTGTTGCGCAGCACCCTTCTATTAGACAAGGCTCCTCCCAGCGCTGATTCAAACAAACCGGTCGGTGCTAGACGCCCTCCTTCTACACCGGCGCCTCTCGGTTACACGGCACCCTCTGCCAGGCAAGCCAACCCACAAGTTGGTTCAAGAATCCCTCTGGAACCGGACGTGCCCCTCCTCCATTTCACAGGCCCACACTGTCAGACAAGTCCCCTCCCCGAGCTGATTCAAACAAACCCTTGGTGCTTAGACGTGACCTTCCCCGTTCACCGGGCCGCGCTGCTGCACAGCGTCCTCTCTTGGTCAGGGCCCATCCCCAAGCCGGTGCAAAAGGACTTCTTGGGGCTAGATGTGGTCGTTCTTTTGCGCCGGATCCCTCTATCAGAAAAAGACTCCCCAAGCTGAGTATAAGCTCCCTTGTGCTAGACGCGCCGCTTCCCCTGGGTAGACCCCCTCTGAAGCACAGCACCATCTGCTAGGCACCCCCCTCCCCAAGCAGATTCAAGAATGCCTTTGGTACTAGGCGTACCCCTCCTCGTGCACAGCACTCTCAATTTGACAAGGCGCCTCCCCTAGTTGATTAAACAAACTTCTTGGCGTTGGACGTGATGCTCCCCGTGCACAGCACCCTCTCATGGCCAAGGCCCTCCCGAAGCTGATGAAAACACACATTTCTTGGCAATAGACGTGCCCTCCTCCTTCACAGGCCCCTTCTGCTGCACAGCGCCCTCAAGACCAGGCCCATCCCCAGGCTGTTTCAATGACATCCTGGGTACACATGCCGTTTCCTGGGCACAGCAACCTCTGTTGGACAAGTCTCTTGCCCCAGCTGATTACAAAGAACTCCTTGATGCTAGACGCGCCCCTCCTCCGACACAGGCCCCCTCTGGTGCACAGCACTCTCTGATAGGCAAGCCCCTCCCGAGAATTATTTGATATGCTCCGTTGGTGATTTGACTTGCCACTATTCGACGAGGCACCTCCCAAAACTGGTCTCAAAGGGTCCTTGTAGTCCTCCGACGGCACAGGCCTGCTTTGTTGCGCAGCGCCCTCTGTGTTAGACGAGGCCACTCCCCGAGCTGATTAAAAAGCAGCTCCTTCGTGATATGCCCGTCCCCCAGCACAGCACCTTCTATCACACGAGGTCCCTCCCCAAGATGCTTACATTGTCTCCTTGGTGCTAGACGCGCCATTCTCCGTACACAGGCCCCCTCCGCTGCACAGCACTCTCTGCTAGGCAAGCCCCTCTCAAATTGATGTCAGAAGCTTCCTTGATACTAGATGTGTGCCTCCATCTCCACACCATTCTCGATTAGGCAAGGTCCCTCCCAAAGATAAATTAAACCAGCTCCCTGGTGCTAGATGCGTCCCTCACCATGTGCAGGCCTTCTCTGTTGTGCAGCACCCTGGGTTAGACAAGGCTCCTCCCGAAGCCGGTTAAGCACAATTCTTGACGCTTCACGTATCCCCATCAGCCTCTCTTTTCTTGCTGCCTGGTCGCGGCCCGACTAGTGTTCGGACGGTTTTCGACCTGCTTCGCGAGCCCGCAGACCAAACAGTATCCCCATCAGCCCATCTTAAAACAGCAATGCTTGCGAAGCGTACCGGCTGTCGTGGTGTTCGTGCGTACCTCGTCTTGCCCTCGCCTTTTGTCAGGAGGCTCATGGTCGGCAGGGCCGGTGGCGTCCAAACTTATCACCTACCCTCCGAGTCCAGGCGAAAGGGGGAGCAGTGAGCAGAGGCCGTGCCTCCCTGCGCCTCCTCCCCTGCTTCCTCCCCCCCGTGTCCTCTCTTACTACCTCTCGCTCTCGCTCTGTTCCTTCTCTCTCTCTCTCTTTCGTTCCTCGCCCCCCCCTCGCTCCTCTCTCGCCCCCCTCTGGTCACCCCCTCCCTGAAGGGGCCGCACGGGCGAATTCTTTTGTTGCGGAGGAGGAGGACGAGGAGGAGGAGTAAGATAGAGTGCGAACAGAAGAGCCATACGCCTTTTGAATGACTATCGGAGTCTCCTCTGGTTTGTCTTGGAAGTGCAAAGGAGGAGGAGGAGGAGGAGGAGGAGGAGGAGGAGGAGGAGGAGGAGGAGGGGGCGGGGGAGAGTGAGGAGGGAGGAGGGAGGAGGGAGGAGGAGGAAGAAGAGGAGGAGGAGGAGGAGGAGGAGGAGAAGGAGGCGGATAAGGAGTAAACGGATGATGATGAGGAGGAGGAGGAGGAAAAATTGACGATCAGAAGAGTCTCCTCGGATGTCTCTTTTTTTGATGCCTCGTGGAGCGTCGGGGGGGGCATCGTTGGTGCCTCGGAAATCCCCTTGAAGCCTCTTGGGGGCGTCTTCGGGGCCTCTTGGGAGCCTCTTGGAGGCCTCTTGGGGCGCCTTTTGGGGCCATCTTGGGGCGCTCTTGGGAAAGAGGGACCCGTGTGGAGGACCTCGAATACACATTTCGAGCCCCCCGCCCTAAGAGGACTCCCGAGACTGGCAGCAGGCCCCCCGGAAGCCTTCCAGAGGCCCCTTGAGGCCCCCAAGTAGCCAGAAAGAAGCCCCCAGCCCGCCTCCAAGATGCCCCAAATTCGGGCAAAGGGATCCCGAGAGGCCTCCCCAAAAGATCACGCGTCCACGTCCTACACGATGTTCCCAGAGAGGCTTCCGGAGATGTCGAATCGGACCTCGAGGCCGCCCTCGAGACACCGATACGCGTCACAGAGGTCCCCCAAAGTCGGAGGTCGATAGACCTCCTACCCTGACACGTCGATTAAGGAATTGGCCGTGTTCGGTTCGCGAGAGGGCGTCGCTGCCGTCATTTTTGCGGGTCCAGGTCCGTCGGTTTCGGTCCCAGGCCGTTTTCACAAAGCGGAGGGTTACTAAAGGGAGTTTTGTCCACCGCCGAAAAGGGCTACCAAAAGGCTTCTGAGGCTTCCCAGGCCGCCCCTGGAAGACTCTTATAGAGGCCACGCATCTACACCCTGAACGACGTTCCCATATCGGTTTCCGGGGACATCGCTTCCGAGCTAGAGGCTCCCCTC